CGTCCGTCCCAATTTCTCTTGCTATTTTTAAGGCTGGGAGGGGAGGGGGGCTGGAGAGATAGGAGGAGCTGTGGTGGCCCAGATTCCTTGCCCTTGGCCTGAAAAGGGGGACTGAGAAGGGGCCTGGAAGAGGCTGGGGACACAGGTGAGGGGACAGAAAGGAAGCAGGGGTTGAAGGGGTCAAAAGTCATCATTGGAAGGATGAAGTTGCCATCAGGAGAGAGAGAGAGAGAGAGAGAGAGAGAGAGAGAGAGAGAGAGAGAGAGAGAGAGAGAGAGAGAGAGAGAGAGAGAGAGAGAGAGAGAGAGAGAGAGAGAGAGAGTTATCAGTGCCAGTACCGAAATAGTAAAATAGAGAGAATTTCACAAGATGGACAGAGATGCAGGAAAAGTTCAAAGCCAAGTGTCAGGACACAAGCCAGGTACCTAGCCCGGAAGAGGTGGATTAGAGGCAGAGAAGGATCTGGAGCTGAAGGCCAACTTTGTCTACATAGCAAGTTCCAAACAAGCCTGGGTTATAGCGGCCCTATCTTCAGGGTGTGTGGAATAGGAAGAGATAGAGATAAAAGACCTTTAGATGTTCAGAGAGGCTCAGAGAGACCCCACAGTGCACAGACACCATGCAGGCACACACACACACACGAATGCACTTAGATCCACAGCCTCCTCGCCCAGTCCTCTGCACAGCAGGGGCTGATGGGCACAGTCAGCCCTGGGCACTGGTTTCCTTTCCCCTCCTTCCCTTTCTCATCAAGCCTCTGATTCTTCCCCTGTAAAATGGGGCTGTAGCCTGGCAGTGACCAGTGCAACCGCCTTGGGAATGGAGACGTTTTCTTTCTATCGTTGCTGTCAGCAGCACGAAGCTGGCATGAAACAGGAATGCACTGAGGAACAGAAACCTTAACTCCCTGTTACTTCGACTGCTTTAGATTTGAGCAGCTACGTTGCTGAACGGGGTGGCGTAAATCTAGACATTTCCAGTCTTATGATAGCAGACCAACTGAGATTGTTTCTTCCCAGAGTTCGATTCATAGGAAGGGAGGATAGTAATCGGGATGGAAGATAGCTGAGACAGGAGGGTCCTGAGTTCAAGACCAGACTGGGCTAAAAGGCGAGACACTGTCCCGAAGAAAAGGCAAAAGGAAAGATCCATAGAGGCTCACGAGGCACCTGCCTGCTTGGCGTGTGAAGAAAACAGAAATTTTCATAGGGATGTGGTTACATTGAGCACATATTGAGCACCACTGTGTACCAGGGCCAGGGTATGTTGTTGACAGCCTGTGCACCTGCTTGCCTCCTACGCTGGCTGTGTTTTATGAGGTCCTGATTACATACATACTCAACAACCATTTTACAGCCACTGTAGGCTGGAAACCGTGTAATTGCTCATAAGATTATATTAGTTGCTTCTTCTTCTCCTGCTCCCATCTGAGCAGAGACTCTTGAACTGGAACACATGATCGGAATGCCACCCCCTGTGTGAAATGACGAATTAGCTCTTGCAGTTTATCTTTCTTAAAAAAATTTAAATACATTTTAAAGTCTTTTCTGTTCCCTAGGGAAGAGAGCAAAAAAAGTCTTTTTTGTTGTTGCTGTTTCTTTCAGAGGTCTTGTTTTTGCTGTTTTCTTTGAAACAGCATCTCACTCTATAGCCCTGGATGGCCAGGAACTTGCTATGTAGACCAGGCTGGCCACATAGAGACCCATTAGCCTCTGCCACGACAGTGCTGGGATTAAGAGTATGCACCACCATGCCCCGTGTTTCTCTGGGGTTTTTGTTGTTTGTTTGTTTTTTAGACAGAGTCTCTCTGTGTAGCCCAGGCTGCCCTCAAATCCCCTATTCTACTGAGGACTAAGTCTCCCAAATGCTGAGATGATAGGAAACAGCTGGCTTAATTTCTTAACAGTGTATCTTAAATTCTCAGGCTATAAAGGGAGGTGAGAATTGGGCCTATCTATGGGGTCATTTCCCAGTCTCAGTTGAGTCAAACGCTTGGGATAGTATCTGAAACATAGTAAGTAAAATATTGGATCATCAAGATGGCTCAGCTGCCAAAGGCATTTGCTGCCAAGGCTGATAACCTGAATTTCATCCCTAGGACCCACACAGTGGAAGAAGAGAATGGGCTCATGCAAGTTGTCCTCTGACCTCCACGTGTGTCCCAACATACACACACACACACACACACACACACACACACAGAGAGAGAGAGAGAGAGAGAGAGAGAGAGAGAGAGAGAGCCAGTTCAAAGCAGAACAGTGGGGACTGGAGAGGTGGCTCAGTGATTAAGAGCACTTGTTGCCCTTGTAAAGGACACAGGTTCAGCTCCAAGCATCCACATGGTGGCTCACACCCACCCAGTTCTAGGGCACCAAATGCCCTCTTCTGATCTCTATGGACACCAGGCACATACATGGTGCACATACATACATACATACAGGTAAAACACTCATTCACATAAAATAATAAACCTAAAAATGTAAAGATGGAAGTCTCACTAAAATAAATGAAAGTTCAGGAGTACCTTAATTTTCCTCCCTTCAACCTAATTCTTCCAATGTTTGTTCAGAGAACGATAAATCTGAGGCTGGGGCTATAGCTCAGGTGGCAGAGTATCTGCCTTGAAGCCCTGGGCTCCGTCCCTAGCACTGTGTCAACTGGCCATGGTGATGGACCGCTTGAATCTCAGTGGCAGAGGCAGGAGGATCAGGATTTCAAGAAGAACCCTGAATTATGCAGCAATAAGTTCCAAGCCAGCCTGCTAAAGAAGAAAAGAAAAAATGGGGGAAGAGGGATGGAGGCAGGCAGGCAGGCAGGCAGGCAGGCAGGCAGGAAGGAAGGCAGGAAGGAAGGCAGGAAGGAAGGCAGGAAGGAAGGAAGGAAGGAAGGAAGGAAGGAAGGGGTGAGAGGAGGAATAGAGACGGGATGAAGAAAGGGAGGAAAAAGTGAGGAAAAAGAGAAACAATTTTCTAAGAATGAGACATTACCCTGCATGGTGGAGTGTGGGTGGAGAAGGTACTGGCTGATGTCCTAAATTCCTGCATTTAATGTCGCTTTAAGACAGGGAAAGAATATTTATTTCTATTTGACAGAAGAGGATGCTGGGGCTCAAAAGTAGGAACTGATTTGCTCAAAAAAAAAAAAAAATCACACCTCTGGGAAGTGACCTGGCTGTTACTTGAACTCAGAGCTCTTCGGGGCCAGCAATAAAACCCTCCTAATAACCACAGCACCACAATAACCGCTGTCAGACCAGCAGCAGAGGGCACGTCCCACATACTAAGTTCTGCTGTGAGCCTCCCGTTAATCTAGCCAGGCCCTCTGGTGCCTGCTGTTAGTAACTCGTGTCTGAGGGCAGCCTGGGGCTAAGGGTGGCTCGCAGGTCCTTGGAGAGCAAGCTGGGGGAGGTATGGACACAGGGAGGATCCTGGGAGCCCTCACCTTCACGCTCTGGCCTCCCTTGAGACTCCAGCTTCAGGTTTTCCTCCTCGTGGCCCTCCTCTTTTTCTTCTTCCTTCCCTTTTTCTTCCTCCCACATTTCTCTCTCTCTCTCTCTCTCTCTCTCTCTCTCTCTCTCTCTACTTTCTTTCCCCTTTCTCCTTCCTGCTCCTCCGTTCCCTCCTCCTCCTCCTCTTCCTCCTCTGTCTCCCCCACTCTCATTCTCTCTCTCTTCTTCCTCCTTCCCTTCTGTCCTCCTCATTCTCCTCTCTTTCCTCCCCCTCTTCTTGTCTTCTCCTCCTCCTCTTCTCCCTCCTCCTCCACCTGTTACCCCTCCTCCCCTGCCTTCTCTTTCTTTCCAGCCCTCCCTTCTTTTTGAAATACCGGGATCAAACCCAGACCCTCTTGGATACCAGACAAGTGCTCTATCCCCGGGCAATACGCTCAGCTCCGTTAAATTTTTTAGACAGGGTATCACTAAGTTACCCAAGCTGACTTTGAATTCTCTGTGTAGCTCAGGCTAGCCCTGAATTTCTGATCCACCTCTCTCAGCTTTGATAACAGCTAGAATGACAGGTTTGCACCGCCAGGCTTCTGATGGTCCCCACCCTTGCTTCATTTCCCTGAAAAGCAGCTATGGCCATTTGTCTTACCATATCATTTATTTATTATTTACTGTGTTTGCTATTCTGTCTTCCTCCACTAGAAAGAAAACTGTCAGGTGACTGAGGGTTTTCGGTTTTTGTTCTGGTTTTGGAGCTAGGGTCTTGAAGTTGCCCTGCAACCACCAGGATGCCGATCTTGAATTCCTGACGCTCCCTCATGTACAACCACACCCAGTTTATGGGATGTTGGGGGTTAGAGGATTCCACGAATGCCAGACAGGCATTTTTATAGAGCCCCATCTCCAGTCCCTCCACGTGACCGACTTCTAATTGTATTTATTCAGTGCTGGGTTTGGTACACAGCAGGATCTCCGCGAATTTGTGTAGACTGTAAGGAGTAAGACAGAGCAGAGAGCTGGCAGACAGAGAGGCCAAAGGAACAAAAAGGAAGGGTTTTCTCTCTGGCTGGGGACACTTCTCTGTTGGTAGTTCTGTGCCAAACTTGGTGGTCCATGCCTAAACTCTCAGTTTGAGGATGGAGAATCAGGAGTTCAAGGTCATCCTCTACTCCATATTGTTTAAGGCCAGCCTGGACTAAACGAAAGCCCGACTCATAGCCTAAAAATAAAAACAAAAAAATTCCAAGGCTGGAGAGTTGGCAAAGCAGTTTATAACACTTGCTGCGCTGCCAGAAGATCTGAGCTACCGTTCCCAACACCCCATGTCGGGGAAAGTTCACACTTCCTGTAAATCCAGCTCCAGGGGAGCATGTCGCCCTCTGCTGACCTCCACCTGCTTTTGCACTCACGTGCAGGCATGCATACGCAATAATAATAATAATAATAACCATCTTTAAAATCACCTCTCAAGGTTTTATGACCCTCCCTCAACTCTTTATCGCTAATGACTCTTCTGTGCTCCCCAGGACCCTCGCAACAAGCACAAGTTCCGCCTGCACAGCTACAGCAGCCCCACCTTCTGCGACCATTGCGGGTCCCTCCTCTACGGGCTGGTGCACCAGGGCATGAAATGTTCCTGTGAGTGTGCCCGGAAGGATGTCTGTTGCCCCCGCCCAGATAGGGCACTAGAGGGCGCGCCTTCTTCAACCACAATGCATTGTCTGGGGTTGAGGGGTTAAGGTGGGAATGGTGAGAGCCTGGGCCTGCAATGCTATCTCCAGTTTCATCCCTCCAGGTTGCGAGATGAACGTGCACCGGCGCTGTGTGCGCAGCGTTCCCTCGCTGTGTGGTGTGGACCATACAGAGCGCCGTGGACGTCTGCAACTGGAAATCCGGGCCCCCACGTCAGATGAGATCCACATCACCGGTGAGGCCACGGCTCCTCACTAGCCACGACCCCAACCTGGAGCTGAGGCTGGCTGAACTCACCCAGGGTGTTCTGGGCTGGGGACCAGGAAGCAGCACACCCCCCCACAGACCACCATCCACATCCCTGGCCGCATCCGCACAGGGCTCCATCTATCCACTCCCTTTCTAGCTGAAGACCTGCCTTCAGTGTCAGTCTTCTGGCTGTTATCTCATGTAGCACAGGCTGTCCTCAAACTAGATACGTAGCAGAGGCTAGTCTCTAACTTGTGGCCTGCAGAACTCTGCTTCCCAAATGCTGGGTTTACAGACATGCAACACCATGACAGGTTTTTTTGGTGTGTGTGTGTGTGTGTGTGTGTGTGTGTGTGTGTATGTGTTAGTGTTGGGGATTGAGACGACTAGTCAAGCACTCTATCTTTGAGCTATATGCCCCACCCCATCCCAGATTTCCAGTTAGTGGCAGTTTAGAGGGTGGGATGAGAGGCAAGATCTGACTTACCCAGCAGAGTCCGACTCCAGACTCTTGAGTCCTAGTGGAAGAAATACACTGATTTCTGGGCACAGGCTCCAGGCAACAGGTCTTTTTCTTTCTTTTTGTTTTTTTGTTTTTCGAGACAGGGTTTCTCTGTGTAGCTTTGGAACCCATCCTGGCGCTCGCTCTGTATATCAGGCTGGCTTCGAACTCACAGAGATCCGCCTGCCTCTGCCTCCCGAGTGCTGGGATTAAAGGTGTGCGCTACCAACACCCGGCTCAGGCAACAGGTCTTATGTCCTGGATATAGGTAGTAGAAAGATAAGTCACAGAGAAAGGAGACTGACTTTGAATTCTTTTTTTTTTAATATTGTTTTTTTAAAGATTTTATTTATTAGGTATACAACATTCTGCTTCCATGCATATCTGCACACCAGAAGAGGGCACCAGGTCTCATAACAGATGGTTGTGAGCCACCATGTGGTTGCTGGGAATTAAACTCAGGAACTCTGGAAGAGCAATCAGTGCTCTTAACCTCTGAGCCATCTCTCCAGCCCCTTAATATTGTTTTTAGTTGTGTTTATTTTCTCTGTGTGAGTGTTTTGCCAGAATGAGCATCATGTGTGTACCTGGTTCCCAAGGGGGTCAAAAGAGGATGTCAGATACCCTGGAACTAAAGATGATTGTGAACCACTGTGGAGGTGCTTGGAATCAAACTTAGACTTTCTGTAAAATGACAAGTATTCTTAATGACTGAGCCATCTCTCCAGCCTCTTTATTACTTTTAAACAGTTATCTGCTGGTTGGTGGTAACTCACACCTTTAACTCCAGCACTTGGGAGGCAGAAGCAGGTGGATCTCTGTGAGTTCGAGGCCAGCCTGGTCTACAGAACTAGTTCCAGGACAGCCAGGGTTACACAGAGAAACCCTGCCACAAAAAACATGTGTGTGGGCATGCATGTGTGCGTGTATGCACTTGGGTGTTACAGCGAATATATGAAGGTCAGAAGACAACCGGCAGAATTCATTTTTTTCCTGCCACATTAGATCAGCAGGATCGGTGACAGCCACCTTTACCATTTGAGCCATGTTGCTGGCTGTGATCCTGAATTCCTGATGACTGGCTGTGGGAGGGTTGGGAGCTATTTCTTGGATCTCTAACTCAAGTTATCCTTCCTTGCCCTCTACCTTCAGTTGGCGAGGCTCGTAACCTCATTCCTATGGACCCCAATGGTCTGTCTGATCCCTACGTGAAACTGAAGCTCATCCCAGACCCTCGGAACCTGACGAAACAGAAGACGAGGACCGTGAAAGCCACACTGAATCCCGTGTGGAACGAGACCTTCGTGTTGTGAGCTCTGGGGCTGTGATGGCTGGCGGAGAAGCATCCGAGGGTCCTAGTAGCCCACACAACCCCACAGTGCTTGGGGGCAGGGTATTAGGATAGAGGCGATCTCTAATAAGAGACAGGAGAAGGTGGGGGCAGGAATGGAACGGTGGAGAAAGAGATGGGCATTCAGGAGCTGAGAGCCGGGTCTCTGGGGATTTATTCCCCAACCCCAGTGCCCTATATGTCACAGCGAGGAGATCAGAGGAGAGACAGAGAGTGAGGAGGACAGGTCTCTCAAGAAGCAGCAGAGGGGCTGGAGAGGTGACTCAGTACTGAAGGATGGATTCTGCTCTTTCCCTGGACCCTGTTATTCACAGCCACCTGTAATCCCATTTCCAAGGGACCCGATGTCCTCTTGTGGCCTATACAGGCAACCGGCACACATATGCCAGCAAAATGCTCACACATATACAGAATATTTAAATTGTTAAGAAAGCGGTCAGAGGAAGAAGGGACAGGGTGATGGACACACAGGTGCTCAGACAGGAAGACATAATGAGAACAGAAAAAAAAGGGGGGGGGGCGGGGAAGAGGACCAGAGAAGAGTCCAAAGGAGGAAAAAGGAAAAGAAGTGGGGTGTTGCAGCAAGAGAAGGACTGAAGGACAGACAGACAGACAGACAGACATAAGCAATTAGTTAGGTCGACAAAACCAACGAGAGGCTGGGCGGACTTGGGCATGCCTATGATGGCAAACTTGGGGGCTGAGGCAAGTTCAAAGCTAGCCCGGGCTACATGGAGAGACCTTGTTTCAAACAAACAAAAAAAACCCAAAGAAAGAAGTACAAGGAGGGGGTAAGCGAGGAAGAGAGGAGGGGATGAGGAAAGAAAGAGGAGAGGAGGACCGTGGGGGAGTGATGAGGACAGGAAGGGAAGCCGGGACACGAGGACTAAGACCGAGAGGAGGTGCACAGAAACTCAGATTAAAGAGAGAAAAGGGCGGGGCGTAGGTGGCGCACGCCTTTAATCCCAGCACTCGGGAGGCAGAGGCAGGTGGATCTCTGTGAGTTCGAGGCCAGCCTGGTCTCCAGAGCGAGTGCCAGGATAGGCTCCAAAGCTACACAGAGAAACCCTGTCTCGAAAAAACAATAAAATAAAATAGAGAAAAGGACCAGGGAACTGATGGGAAGGGACTAAGAATCTGGGGAGGAACGGATACAGCTTGTGATAGCTGTGTTTATGTGGCTATCTCCCCGTGACTGCCCCAGTTGCACAGTGGGGGAGACTCTCTGAGGGTCAGGGGCCTGGGGTGAGGAAGTGGGGAGCCGTGACTTCAGCTCCTCCCTCTTCTCCCACCCTTCCCGCAGCAACCTGAAGCCAGGGGATGTGGAACGCAGGCTCAGTGTGGAGGTTTGGGACTGGGACAGGACATCCCGAAACGACTTTATGGGCGCAATGTCCTTTGGCGTCTCGGAGCTCCTCAAGGCCCCTGTGGATGGATGGTGAGGAACAGGGATGGGCTGGCGGTGCACCCGGGTGTCACCTTCGCCCTCCATATGTGGGCTCTCTTTTAGGCCACCATCTTTCCCCCCTTTATCTTCCAGCATAGCTCCTCCCCTTTCTCCTCCTCCTCTTCCTCCTCTTCTCTCCTCTCCTTCCTCCCCTCTCTCCGTATCTCACTCTTTCTCTCTCTCCATCTCTGTGTCCGTCTTTCTGTGTCACTTACCTCCCTTTGGATGTCTTTGCCTCTCCCATGGGTGCCCTGCTTCCCTGTATCCCTGCCCGGCCCTGGTCTCCGTCTGTATGTCAGGTACAAGTTACTGAACCAGGAGGAGGGCGAGTATTACAATGTACCGGTGGCCGATGCTGACAACTGCAGCCTCCTCCAGAAGTTTGAGGTACCCTGACTGACTGACTGACTGGCTTCCCCCAGGGGAGCCCAGCCCAGCCTCCCCAAGTTCAGAGCTGGCTTTGCCCTCTATCCCTGATATACCACTGGTACTGGGACTACAATTCCCAGAAGACTCCAGGGCTCCTTCCTCAATTCTTCTTAGGGGTCTAGGCCGTAGTGTCTCATGGGAATTGTAGTTCTCCATCCCCATGGCTTTGGGGTATTAGGGGCCCTTGTGGGCCTTTGCTCTAGGGCAATTAT